GTCATGACGATGATGTTTCCTCGTCATCGCCCTCGCCTTCGCGCTTTTCTGATTTTTTAAAGGAGTCGATAAATTGGATATTTCACCTAGAGTTTGAACATTTCTTAAAGAGGACATCCTTCAGACATCAAATAAAATGATCAGGGTCGACAAAAAGTTGCGCTAAGTCCACAGGAATGGTGTCTGAAAACACGGCTTTCACCCCATCTGCTGTATCCTCTCCATGCCTTTGGTTAGCCTGTCGCCTGTAGCTCCGCAAATATTTTAAAATATCGCGAATAAATATTATAGCTAGAGGGTTAGAGTATTACCAAGTTAAATATATGGACTCGATTGAATAAGCCGATCATTTAAGATAGATAAAATCGGAATAAATGCCTGTCACGAACATTCTAAAAAAAGAAAAGCTCGGGGCATTGCTGATACTCTTACAGCAGTTTGCTTTATTTGCACCATCGTTCTCTTCTTTTCCATTTTTTTCCAGAAGCAACTCGGAACAATGAATCAGACAGAAAGTCAAAATTTTTACTGCCGATCATCACTAGACAAAGTATAATTTGCGCTTGAAATATCTTTGAGACTCTTCAGTTTTCTCACCTTGCAGGTTTCCCGATATGGTTGCCGTCGCCAAAAAATTTTCTATTCTACTTTTATTCGGTTTATTCGCTGTTTTTCTGGGGAAAACCACGGCAGACGGATCTTGCAGCGGGTGCTCTTTGATCGACGAGTTGAAGGAGGTTGAGGGCATCTACAAAAGAAACGTCAGACACACATTGGATGATGGTTCAAAGAAAAGACAGCAATGCCACACACGAGTTCAAGAAGGACGGTGAGAGTCTCGAAAACTGACATTTCCTAACGATGCTTATTTCGAATACCACTAATTCTACGCCTAATGAATCCGGAAATGCCACGCTTGCTACTAACGCAACTAAGGCAACGAGACCGGGAAATTTCAACGGCACTGAGCAGTTCGGCTTCGGTAATTCTACGGATTCCAAATCCCTCCTATCACCGTCTTCGGAAGACGTCACTACCGCTGGCGTTTGATATCGTAAATTCGGAAAGCAGCCCGCAAAAATCCAGTCACTGCAGCCTTCCGGAGATGAACAATTCTGAGGAAATCGGTCCCACCCCGGAATCTGGATCTAGCCGAACATCTGAGCTCTCCGAATTCCGGAAAACCAGATGATGATCTGACCACCACAAAACGCCGGCAGGCTCCAGCCCCAGCATCCTTCCAAATCCGCCCTCTTCTCAACTACCACCAAATTCTGGGGATGATATGACCACCACGAATACGTCGGCCCGTTCTAAACTTGATATTCCGACGCCAAAAACGACTTATTTCTGAAGAAACAGACATAACCGGTCCTCAATCCACAACTTCCGGATCCGGAACGATGCTCGCAATTGCTTTGTTTTTCTCAATTTTCTTACGAAAGAATAAAGTCACACAGGAAAGTGGCTTTTCATTTTAATAAAGTTTTGTTGATATGAAGGATCAAAACGCACAAAAAGCGAAATCAACACACTTAAGTTTCGGGCTAGTTTTTTATCGGTTAATAGGGCTTTTGGCCTGCTGGAGGTGATTCAGGCCTAATTCATAAGATTCTGAGCCCTTTCGTCCCCAGCCAAATCATAATTCGGGGTCGAAACGGGATGAGCGTTCATTTGGCTTTACATCATCATCGAAGTTTGGCCCTGGAAATGCGTTTCCGATCTAAACGCCTTTCTATTTTTCTTTATTAGCCTGTCTATTCGTGCACGCAATTGCTTTAAAGTCGGATGCTGGTAAAGACAAGTCCGCTGATAAGAAGCCGGATAATTCCGAATCCGGCAATATTCAAACGACTCAAACATCAAATTCTGTGGCTAGCCTGTCGACGACGAAGCCGAATACGGCTCAACCTGAGCCGGAAAATGGAAAAAACCTCCAAGCCACTGAGTTCTGCCCCCGTCACTATTCCGACGACGCATTCTGGGCCTGCAAATTCTGAGAATGCACTTATTCGATCTTCTAGCACGCCAAGATTCTGAAGCCACAACAACGAAGGCGAAAAGATCCGCTGCTGGAGATGTAGCCCCTTGAATCTACAGCTAACGCTGGCCCTAACGTTGCCACTAATACGCCGGCGAAGAATAGTGAAAATGCAATTATTCCATCTTCGAGTACGCCAAATTCTGGAACAAGAACTACCAAACCAAAAAATGCTGATTCTACTACTGTTCAAACGACGACCACGTCGACGTCGACGACGACAACTTCTGGAAAGGGTCTGCGCACTACTACATCGGCAAAAAATAAAGCTCCAAAGATTCCAGCTTCGAGCTTGTCGAATTCAGAGCCACAACTACCAAGCCCAAAACTCACGCTCGTGGCAGTATTTCAACCTCCCATGCGCCAAATTCGGGAGCTGACGTAGCCACTACTCAACCGGCGAAGCATGCTGAAACTCCAGAAATTCCATCTTCGAGTACGTCAAATTCTGGAGCCACAACTAGCAAAGCTAAGAGTTCTGATCTTGGCCCTGTTCCAACGACCCAAACGTCAAATTCTGGAGCTGACGTGGTCACTACAAGTTCTGGAATTAACGCGTCGACTACCAAGCCAAAGAAGACTGAACCAGAGCTTGGGAAGCTACAAAGCTCGAAGCTACCAAATTCTGAAGTTGACGTGTCCACGACAAAGCCGAAAAATGCTAAACTTTCCAGCACTAAAGCGTTCCAACCCCCGAATTCCGGAAATGAAGTGCTTCCGAAGCCAAACGCTACGGAACCGAAAAAAAACGGTGAAGCCAAGTTCCATATGAGTGGACCGTCAGGTTCTGGAGCTTCCCCAGGCGCTGTTGTGGGACCGAAGAATTTGGAAGAAACGAAAGGAAAAGCCTCTATCCCTCTAATGAAGTCTTCTGGTTCCGGAATTTGCGTCACGATGGCTCTGTTATTCGCAATCTTCTCCTTCGCGTTTCAATAAATCTACAAGCGGCTTTTCGAGGTCTGGGTTTTCAATAAATTTGTTATCAGTAATCTTAATTGCACCAAATAAAATTACAACACGGTAGAAGCCACGTCGTATCACTGGCTAAAATACTATGCAAACTTTAGGCATTTTCGGGAATTTTGGAGCAATCCCTTCATTTATGTCCGTTCCCTTTCTCCAATTCTCTCGATTATGAATCGTCGCTCATCATAATTGGTAGCCAAAATATCATTTTTGGAGCTTGAAATTGGCGCAAAAGACTACTTTTCCATTCGCTGCGAGGAATCTCAGTTGAGATCCATCCATGGCGTGTAGCGACTCGTAGCCATTCGTAGTGATGTTTGGAAGACACCCATATGGTGCGTACCGTGCGACTGATAGATGTCTAGCTTGTGCGAAACGTGCTTATCAGGTGCGTCTCGTGTGCGTAATGTGTAACTAGCAAATGCGTGCTGGATCCGTAGTGGACGCGTTACAACGGCGTGGTGCATGTGCAGGGGATTGGAAGCGGAAGCGGGCCTAGCGTATGCTTAGCTTGCGCCTAGCGGCCGCCTCGCGAGTGCATAGCGTGCGTGTAGCGTGTGGGTAGCGGGTGCGTGGCGGCCGTCTAGCGGCTGCCTAGCTTATGCGTAGCGAGCCCCCTAAGTGTGCGGAGCGTGTGCGTAACGTGTGCATAGCGTGTGCCTAGCGAAGCGTTTGCGTAGCGAAGCGTGTGCGTAGCGAAGCGTGTGGGTGCCAAATGCGCACCGGATGCGTAGCGTGTGCGTAGCGAGCGCGCATGTGTGCGTAACGTGTGCATAACGTGTGCGTAGCATGTGCGAAGCTTATACTCAACGGATGCGTAGCGTGTGTGTCACGTGCGCGTAGCGTGTGCTAACCGCTAAACCACCAAAGCCGAATTTCGAAAACTTAGCCTTCGATCGCTCAAAATTGCAGCAAAATGGGCCGAAACACGTAGGGATAAAAGTTTATTGATAATTAACTATACAGCACGAAAAAGCATTCGATCGGTGATGATTGTTTCTAGGATCCGTTCGGTCCTTCCGTTCCATCAGCATAACCCTCCTTCAGCCATTCCACCGACGGGAAGTTGCAATTGTTGCTGGCGCAGCCGTAGTCCCAGATCGTGTCTGAAACAGCAAAAAGTGAAATGGCAACTCCAGCTCCGACCCAGCCGGCTCCGCCGGCCCCCAGCTTTTGTATCCCAGCTCCCTGTTCATCTACAGGTGTGTAAAATATACCAAAATGCTCGCCAGAGCTAGACGAACATTTTGGTATGCTTTACACACGTGGAGATGAACAGGGAGCGAGCTACAAAAGTTGCGAGCCGGCTGGGGGGGCCGGTATCTGAAGTCTTACCCCGAAAATAACTCGGGCCCTTTGCGGCGCTTTTGAGTGCATTTTGCGTCTTTTTTTGCGTCGCGTTTCCGTCACTTACGGACCACGGCCACCAAGCGACAATTCAAAACCGGAAGGCTGCCTACAATTCGGAGTCTTGACCCTCCACCGATCACGTTTCCACTTGGGGCCCGCGTAGCAGTTCCTGACGGTAAGCGGCTGGTTGTCGGCGTCCTCGAGGCGTCGCGCAAAACATTTGCCCGCCGGACACTCGCTCACCTCGACGACGGCCTGAAAGGAGTAGCTGGCTTACGGGAAAACCTAGCGAAAAACTGAGGTATACAAATGTAGCACGTAAATCGAACAGATAAGTCTATTGCAACCGCTTAATTCAAAAGATGCGATACCATCTGATTCTCCTCGGAGCAGCGCTCGTTGTACTCGACATCTCCGTACAGTTCGGGTTCTCTAGAAAATACGGTGTCATAAAATTTTTCCTTGCGCTTACAGCAGCTGAAATTGGAGAATGGCCTGCTGATCCCCAGACCAGCACTTGAAGCAGGTGACGGCGTTGACCAAGCGGTTTTGGTGGCCGATGACGGCGAGCAGTACGACCGCCCGGAAAAAATTGGGCATTTCGTTGTAATGGGGGATTTTTGGAAGGCATTCGTGTTAAAATTCTTGGGCTTAATGTAAATTATTGTTCATTCATATTTATTGGGAATTGAGAGTTCTAGCGTTCCTGAAAATGGGTGGTCCTCCTGATAACGACAGATGAAAACACTAATCCGCAATTTCAATAAACCGATATGAATTAATCTAATTGAAGCTCATAATTCCCAACGCAAATGACAACGTCATTTCTGCCAGATGTCTGCCCGCCATTCGGTGCTTCTAGCACTCGCCCTGATCGTCGTCTACCTCGGCGGCGACGACGCCACGATGTGCTACCAGTGCAGATCGGCCGGAAATTGGTCCGACGAGCTGTAGGTTGCATAGATCACATACTTTGTACGCGAAATTTAGCCTCAAGCCGCTCTTCCATCACGCCGATTGTATGGATGGTGGCGAGGTATGAATATTTCACTCCATCTTTCTGTCCCCCTCTCTCGCTCTCTCTCTATCTATCTATCTCTCTCTCTTTCTGTTTCTATACTACGTTTTTCAGAACGTAACAACCTGCAACGGCACGTACTGCGTCGCGTACCTCGGCCAGGAGACGAGCGGCGAGTTGGGGATGATGCGGCATTGCGCCCAGGAGCAGCCAGAATGCGTTGCTGGTAACTTGCCTCAATCACTCTCTCTCTCTCTCTCTCGTCTCTCTCTCTCTCTCTATCTCTCTCTTTCTCTCTCTCTGGTTCTCTCTGCCTCTCTCTCTCTCTGCCTCTCTCTCTCTCTGCCTCTCTCTCTGCCTCGCTCACTCTATCGCCTGCTTTCCAGACGATGGCTGGGAGTGCGGCTGCGACACGGACCTGTGCAACGACTGGAACTCGACGAACTTGATGGCGATGGCTCTACCGCCATCCACGTCATCTAGCGTCAGCTACCTCATGGTCATCTCGCTCGTCGGCGCCAAGATGATCAACCACTTCTAAAAATAAGAATTTGGCCGTTTGAATGTGATGCTTTTCATTGGTTATTGCGAATAAAGTATCTCTCTGGGAGCTTTCTCTCTCTCTCTCTCTCCCTCTCTCTCTCTCTCTCGCTCTGTCTCTGTCTTAAAAGGATACATCCGCGCCTGGGGTAATGTAGAGTCTCAAGAAACGTTTTATCTCAATCTCCAACATCCCAAACAGTTCGAAAAAGTATGTGGAACTTTTTTCAATTTGCATACATATCCAAACATGTTTAGATAATATGACGCCCTCTAGATTAATCCATCCGTATTAGTCATTTCTCCAAGATGTCTGCCCGCTATTCGGTGGCCCTCGCGCTGGCCCTGCTCGTCTTCCACCTCAGCTTCTCCCACGCCGTCAAGTGTTACAAGTGCCGCAGCGGAGAACCCGATGACGACGACATAAACAAGCTTCCGTAAATCACCCCTACATTCTTAACAAAGCCTTACAGCCCGGACTGGCCCCGTTATCACCCGGACTGTATGCAGGGCAGCAAGGTTGGCATGGCGTGAGAAATTGTCTCCGCCCACCCCGCGTCCTATTAACGTGTCGATGATCTCAAAATCTCGCGAAAACTGGTTCTGGGCTGTTAGCGAGAGGCGTGAAACACTTTTTGTTTTTACGTCTATACCTAGATGTGGATAATATGTTATGTATGTTTATCGTGTTTTTAGTGATTTTTGATATCTAGGAGCTTCCGGAGCATGGTTAAATCGAATAGTAAAAACAGTTTTTTGAGATTTTCGCATTTTTAGTATACCGAGCGCAACCTGAAACCAGCATAGAAAGATGCGCGAGATTTTTCTGCATCGATTGGTGTATCATTTAGCTTGCGCGAGGAATACTAACACTGAAAAAATCGCGAATTGTAGGCGAAAAACGCGGAAAAAATGTCCCATAAAAATACAAAGTTGTTAACTTTGTTAATAAGGGGGTATCAAAACGCATCTGGAAGCCGCGCTGAAGCGATTGCAAAAAAGAGCAAAAAGAAATTCGGCTCCCAAGAGGGGGCCGGGATTGAACTAGCGGCGGCTCTGGATTGGCACGCCGACGCTTGGTTCCCCCGGTTAAAAATTTCCCCGACCGCTAAGGGTCCAGTACCGTAAATCGTAAACAAAGATGACTTTCCATTTTTTGGGACACCCGGAATGGGGCGCTTCACCCTCCGAGCAATTTCCAGGACTTGCCGACCTGCGAGACCAACAGTGCTTGCGAAACGTACATGCTAACCCATCCGAATAGGACGCATTTTCGCAGAAGCTGTCTCTCTCGCGATTTTCCGGTCTTCATGGGCTGCCGCCGTGAAAAATACGAAGAGTGTAAGGATTTCGGGTTATTCAGTTTTCGGTATTTTCGCTTATTTTGTCGGGATTTTTGCAACGCCATTCGATAGAGCGTCAAAAAATATACTAAGAGTTTTAATTTGAGCCTACAATAATGTAAAAAAAAAAAAGTTACAGCCAAAAACTTCCGGCTGGGGGGTGGGGTAAAGTAAACCGTAGCCAATTTCTTTTTTCCTGGCGGTCCCGGTGGCCCTAGTAATCCAAAATCAGTGGGTTTTTTAATTGTTTTTAGTAAGTTTTAACTATATTTAAAGTAGAAAAACTTTCAAAAAAAGTTGGAAAAATGTTTTAAAAAGTGGACACTTTGGTAATTAAAAAAATTTGAATAGTTCTTATGCTTAGGAATAGCTAGAAACAATTTAGAAACACATTCGCTGTTAATAAAAAAAAATTCAGGCTTGCTGCGAAAAAGTTGGGTCCCCCCGTGAATCCTAAGGAATCCATATCTCTAAAAAATACAGCTAACTTTAGACCAGGAAGAGCTATGGACCTGCAATTGTAAAAGTGATCTGTGCAACAACTTGGATGAAGCCGCGCTGAAGGCCAAGGCGGCCACCTCATCCATCCCCTACCACATCGCCATCGCCGTCGTCGGCGCCATGCTGATCGCCTTTTTCTGAATTTCTTTTTCCCTTTTTTGAATCGATTGTGATGCTTGGCACTGGGTAATGTAAATAAACTCTGAAAGGCCTCCTGCGGAGAATTTCAACAAACCTCAAAGCTTCAAATCACGAGAAAGCAGCTAACGCTAAAACAAACGCAAAAGTTTGCATACGCTGAAATTCAGCTATCAGGAAAACTATCTAAATTCACAGCTACCTCGTGCTCCATTCCTCCAAGATGTCTGTTCGCCCTGTTCGCCCTGTTCGTCGTCCACCTCAGCTTCTCCCACGCCGTCAAGTGCTACAGGTGCCACTCCGGCCAGGGCTACGACGGTCCCTACCACCGGGACTGCATGCAGGGCAGCAAAGTGGGCATGCGGTTTTCCAACCAGCCAAGCTTACGCGCAGTTTGCCCCCGCCCCTCCAGCCGACGCCCACCTACCGTATCTCGGCTCCTTGTTATCCTACCGGGTAGTAAAGTATACCAAAATACTCATCAGAGTAAGGCGAACGGTTTGGTATACTATACACACCTGTAGACAAACGAGATACGAAAGTTGGGCGCCGGCTGGATGGGGGAGGGGGAAACTGCACTCTAACCACCCGCCATCCACCCTTTTCACCGTTAAACCTGGGGCTCTAGGACATGCCGACTTGCGAGGACGATCAGTGCTACGCTCAAATCGACTTGGATGGAAAGGTTATGGAGCGAGGCTGCTACCGGAAAGGAGGAGAGATCACCTGCGCCCCGCATAAAGGGACTGACGGCGGTGAGTGGATAGGCCGGCTTGGGGTCAGATTCTAGTTTGCCGCCAGCCCTAACTTTTGAGTCATACGTCCTATTAATGCGTGGACTATCTGGAAATGTTCGCAATGTTCGAATTGCTATAAAAACGTTGTTTCCTTACAACAAAAATTGTCATAAAATGGCTAAAGCGACCACGGCGAACATTTTGATATACTCCACGCATTATTGGAACGTATGGATGAAAAGTTACGGCTGGGGGGGCGCTCCTCGTCTCTTACCAAAAAGGCTAACGCATAACTTTCCGTGTTCCAGTTATTCGGGTGGACTGTGGGTGCGACACTGACCTGTGCAACAACTGGGAACCGGCCACCCTGAAGGCCAAAGCGGCCACCTCATCCATCCCCTACCACATCGCCATCACGCCGTCGTCGGCGCCAAGATGATCGCCTTTTTCTCAATTACTCGTTCGGTTGTGATGCTTGGCAGTGGCTATTGTAAATAAAGACTGAAATGTCGCGGCTGCATAAATTTGCTGCAAAAAAAGAAATTGGTTTCACCGTCCGAAAATTTTCCTAATAGCGTTGCGCTATTTTTCAAGTCATGAAAATCAGCGCCATTCATAGCCAGCTCAGCCGTTCGACACGGCCGCTGATAACACAGGTTTAAGCTAGGCTTTGTGTACCGGAAAATAGAGATCATTAACCGTCATAAGACAATCGCCTGTTGAAGCTAGGAAAATTACGGGTTATAAAAATGGCCCCTTTCCGTCGAAAATAAGATTTGCGTGGCTGTCCGCGAGGAGTTGGGCAAGCGTACCGTCACGTTCAGATTCGTACTTGCCGAGGGCGCTGGCCGCATCGGTGCGCACGATCAGGGAGAAATTAGCAAGTTTTCTAAGCCGTATTTATCCGCAGATCGCCTAAAGCGTTGTTTACCACGCGACGCGTCCTTACTCTCAAAACCAAGGCGAACGTTTTGCTATGCCTGACAGCCCCATACACCACAAGCAAGCCAGGCTAGATCATAACCAAGTTTTCCAAGCCCTATCACTTCAAAAAAAATATAATAATTTGGTTCAAATGTGATGCTTTGTACTAGCCATTACGAATAAAAACCGAGAGCTGTAAACCATTTATAACAAGGCATAACACTTGACGGGGAAATGCACAACTAGACAAAGCAATGACAAGAATTGGGGCCCTGACGCGCAGGCGCGAAAAAAAAAAGTAGATAAAAACAGAACAACGAAAGGCGATAAGTTACAAATGGAACAAGTGGAAGGGGTGAGAAGCCGGCTTAGGGGGTGATGCGCTTCGGGTCACGAGGGAACATCGACGACAGACGGATGTTGTGCAGGCCGAGGAAGAGCATCGTCACGCGTTCCATACCGGAAAAAAGATAAGTAAAATTTTATAACCAAGGGCGCCGCTTTCTTAAAGGCAGTATAAATTTTTGAACTACAACTCTTTCAAGAAACGACACGCGCAGACAGTAAAATAAGCCGTTCCGAAACAAAATACGGTTCCGTAATTTCGCTCACCAATTCCACCGCCAGCGTGCGGCGGGCATCCGTAGCGGAACGCGTCAATGTAGGCTTGGATCTTGTCGAGCTCGATGTTGTGGTGCTTGGCGCGCTCGGTGAGGAACGTCGGATCGTGGATACGCTGGGCTCCGGAGAGGATCTCTTCGCCTAAAAAGAATTGTTTGAAACGCACTGGCTACGATTCTCCTCATACTTTTTTCCAAAACAACAAATAAAGCTCAACCCTTACCTCTCATGAACATGTCGTAGCTGTTCGAGTAGCGCGCATCGTGAGGGTCGGGCATCGTGTAGAATGGTCGGACGGCAAGCGGAAACTTGTCGAGGATGTAGAAGTCGGTCTTGTATTTGTCCTTGACGAGTCGACCGAGCTTCTTCTCCAGGGGCGTCGACAGGTCCTCCTCATCACCAATCTCTTCACCGTTCTCGCGCAATATCGCCACGGCATCAGCATACCTAAAACAATGGATGGACGCTCAAGAAAAGTAGCTTACTTCAAGACCAAAGCCGGCTCGCAGAACTCGAAGGGCTCGGCCGGGTATTGTTGCCCGACGGCGGCGATCTAAAAAACAGTTCGAGCGGAATCCGAATTCTTACCTCATGGGCGTATTCCCTTTGCAGCCCCTTGAAAACGTTGATCAACACATCACCGATTGTGCGCATCACCTAAAAACGGCAATATAATCTTCTCCAAGTCACAAATTTCGTTACCTCATGATAGTGGAACTTGAAGGCCATCTCCAAGTCAAGGCCGACAAACTCGGTCATGTGGCGATGGGTGTTCGAGTCCTCGGCACGGAAAACGGCGCCGACGGTGAACACCTAAAATCAGATTGAATTGATAAACTAGGCCACCAACCTTCTCGAAATCACCGGCGATTGCCATCTGCTTGTAGAGTTGTGGCGACTGGGCCAAGTAGGCTTGACCCTTGAAGTAGCTGACGGTGAAGACATTGGCTCCACCCTCCGAGGCAGCAGAAATGATCTTCGGCGTGTGGATTTCTAAAAGCTTTGAAACCGAAAGCCTGAAGAATATTACCAGTGAAGCCACGTTCCCGAAGAATTGAGCGGAAAAAGTGGCAGACACCGTCCTGGACCCGGAAGATCGCTTGGGTGGTTGTTGTGCGCAAATCGAGGATTCTTAAAAGTTGAATTTTTCAGAAAAAGACTACCTGTTATCAAGCCGAGTGTCGAGGTTGACGACCGCGAGCCCAGAAGGATCATTTTCGCCGCGCGATGCGTCCTCGATTTGCAATGGCAGACGGGGCTCCGAGGAGGAAACAACGAAGACCTAAAACACCACAATACCAACCAATTGCTATTTCCTTACCTGAATCGGGTGCAGTTCCATCTCCTTTTGGGTACACGCCGACACTTCTTGCTCGGCAACGACCACCTTGGCCTGGATGTCGATAATCGACTCCTGAAAAGGAAATGGAAGCCAAAACACTGAAAATACCTTGGGAATGGCTCCGACAAACTTGACCATCTGCTTGCTCACGAGGTCGCCCTTGAAGAGACCAACCTAACAATCGTGAAACTTGCTTTCATGTAAAACTATCATACCTGGATGGTGTGCACCTTGTGGCGGAGTACCAGAAAGCAGGATTTCCCGGTAGAGCGAGTGGTGTGGACACGACCGCGAACCCAGATCTACAAGCAAGAGATTTAGCGGAAAAGCTTCAAATACCTCCTTGTTAGCCAGGTCCTTGTTGATTGCGTTCAGCTCGGTGAAGACGATGTCCTTCTCATCGGTGGACTGGACGAGCCCGTAAGACCCGTAGCAGCCGACGCTCACGTCTTCTTCCTTGTCACCGCTCGCGTCATTGGCGGACGGACCCTTCTGATAATACACATAGACAATGCAGCCGAAAGTTTGAAAATCATCCGTTTTCCGTTACCAACCTGCTGGGTCAGCTCCATCTTCTTTGCCTTCTTGGCGAGCTTGTTCAGCTCCTTTTTGCTCAGCTTCTTCTCGCCATCGGCGGCAGCAGCCTCTTGGTCCGACATGGCGCTGTAAACAGACTACCCTGAAAAACCAAAATAAAGGGCACGGAAGATACACCAAACAAATGTTTATCTAAACGAAACTCGACAACCTACACAACTAGACCATATCTTCATCTACACCACTCAAAATTCGCAAAGATCGTTGGGGTTAACCAGTTTCAGTCAGAACTGCAGCAGTTTTTCTATGAAAAATTTATTCACAGGGTTATTTAGACTAGTGCGACATCATCAATCAGCATGACATTGGCGGTACTAATTTAGACATGTGGGTACCAGAAACTTCACATTCACAGCACGGGCATCACAAAGCTAAAGAGCCAAAAAAAGTGCTGTTACCCATAATAATGAACAATACACAGTATAAAAGTGCTTAGGATTAAGTACAAATGACGCTCAGATCATGGCTTGATTAGTGGGGGCGTTTCTCGGCGTGCTTCTTCGTGAATTCCTCGGCATTTTTGATGAACGTCTTCTTGTCCTTGGTAAATTCCTCGGCCAGGTCTCCACGAAGCGGGTGGTCGGGTTCGGGGTCGTTGATCAACTGCAGCAACGCCATCAGCACCTGCTCGGCACGGGTGGCCGGCTTCCAGTTGTCGGGGTGGACGATGCCGAGGCAAATCTGGCCCTGCTCGTCAATGTTCGGGTGGTAGATCTTGGTCAGCAGGGTGAGCTTCGGCGGCTTGAACGGGTAGTCGGCGGGGAAGTCGAGCTGGACACGGAAGGCGCCTTTGGAGTAGGGCACGTTGTCGGGGAGGAGGGTGACGGTCCAATGGAGCAGATTGCTGTCGCTGTACTCGACGTTCGCGTACGACTTGGCGCCCGAGCCCTGGATGTCGGCCAGCTCCTTTTGTAATCGACGCGAGACGGACATCAGGGGCGGCCTGAAAAAGTGAGATAAGTACGGGGATGCTTGGTGGTGACGAAATCTTGAGAAAAACATGGGAAATGTGAAGAAGTAACGCAAAGGACAATCATACTCAGTTTTTAGCCGATTTCAAAGAGAAATTAGAAAAAGTTGCAAAAAGATTTTTCGAGAAAATTGTTTAGGTTGTTTAATTCTGACGCAAAAGAAATCGGGGGTGTCAGTGAGGGGTCGGGGTCCCGGCGTGTGGTGTATTGGCGCGTTGCTGACGAAATCCGCAGCACAACAAAACAACAAACTGATTAGGAAACGCAAAAAAGCATAAAAGGATAAAATTATAATCTTTACAAACTAAACAATATAAATATCATTAAAGGAAATTTATTTCGCGGAAATTGTCTTTATTTGGCCGATCGAAAGCTTTTCTAATGGCTAGAAAACAAAATCTTTCCGGAAACGGTATTTACATCAAAAATACCGGAAATGAGTAATTTCCCTAAAACCAAAAGTATTTGAGGAGTTTCCAACTAGCAAAAAACATTGCCTTTGCCTACTCGCCCCCTCGTCCGGCCGGCTTCGAGCCGATCCTCCGCCAACGATGGCCTCTTCCGACCGAGCTGGCAAAAAGTCTGGCTGTAAGTCACATTTTTCTTCGCATTGTAATTCTGTTTTCAGCAGCGAAGCGCGCTACTACGCCCCAAACCCTCAACTCGGCCCAGGCCGCCGAAGAGATCAACCGGATTGCCGAGCGGGCCGGGAAGCGGATCATCGACCTGTACGAGAAGATGCCCAGGGCTGGCAACACGGTTAAAGGTTTGTATTTGCATTTGAAATTGGCGTTGTTTTACCTTGATTCTCAGGAACACTTTCTTTTACAGGGGTATTCGACGACCGTGCGCTGCCCTGTCTCATCCCGCCCAGCCCGAGCCCGGCCCGAGGCTGCAGCACGAAGAGCGTCACGGCGACCACCGACCGCGGCACCTCGATCAGCACACCGCCGTAAGGAATTGAGTTATAACTTGGCTTCCCTGTGGGCTAGATGTTGTAAAGTACTCGCCAGAAAAAGACGAACATTTTGGTATACTTTACGCCCTCGAAGACCAATCGGTAGCCGAGTCATAACAGTTTTGACTCGGCTGAGTTTAGAGTAAATTTAATTCTTTCCATTCTTTTGAAACCTATAAGTTTAGCGACAGCACGTTGCCGCCGGAGACACCACCACCGCCCGTGCAGGACAGCTCAAGCCGGGCCAGCAAGCGGACGGCGAAGAAGAAGAAGCGCCAGCAGCAGCAGCAGCAAGAGTCCGACAGCGACGGCGTGCGCACGGCCCTTTCTCCCGGCCCCGAGACGTACTACCCCGGAAAGAAGGGTCTTCTTCAGTTGAAGCCTAATGAGACGGTACATTTTTGGTGGTTTGATTTTGGTTTTTCTGGTACATTACGCCGTTTTTCAATTTAGGAAGTTTAGAAAGGCCTGATTAAAATTTTCAGAAATGAGTAAAAATTCCAATTTTCCACGTTTATAAAAATGTTCTTATGGCTTTTGGTTGCTAAAAACTACTCGAAACAGTAGAAAAGGCTAAAAAAAATTTGTAATGCCCGTTCAGGACTTGTCAACCCATGCACTTCAGGTGTACCGCGAGGTCACCGAGGGGCGCAAGGTGCTGGTGGTGCGCGAGGTTGACGACCACCGAGGCGACATCAGGATCAAATCTGCAGAGTAAGGACGTCACTTGCCACCTCAACTTTCTTGCTAGTGACCCCCGTCCTCGCCTGCTCGAGCTCCTCCGCAACAGCCAGCGCGAGCCCGTCCCGAGGTCGTCGAGCCGCAACTTTTCGCTGACGACAATGCCGCGCATTGACGAGCCGTTGCCGCAGCGCGGCTCGCCGGGACCCGATAAGATGGTATTGTTTCGTACTCGTCACCTATGAAACATTTTTTTGTGCAGCCGAAGGGCTGGGGCATCGACGCGACGATTTCGATCCTGGATGCGACGGGCAAGCGTCATCAGTTGAAGGTAATTTTCTTTATTGCTGAACTTAATTTTTCTAGATCTCTGCAATGAGCCGCTCCGACTCAGCCGCCACCACCGTCATCGTCCAGGATCGCCCGGTCACCTTTGGCCACGGAAAATCGAAGTACCCGTAAGGCGTTTGCGCAAAGCTGATGATAATTTTTTTTCCAGCGAGGAGATGTCGCTGCAGTAGCCGCCCGGTGCCGCTTCTTCAACCGTCGAAATAAAATTGAAACTCGCTCACCATTTTCAAAGAATGCATAGCTGTGAATTTTTCCGAAATAACTCGTTGTCGCCTGCCTTAACTTTATGTGATATTTGCTCGTGGAGAATAAATGGCTTTTTTGTGGTGAATTTGAGCCGTAAAAATTTTTGATATTGCATCCTCTTGTGTGTATTACATCGAAAGTTTGCTCTCTGCTGAAAAACTTTTTTTATAGCTTACTGAGGTTTATGGGTTAATTCTCTTTTTCTTCATCCGGGGCCTCTAAAAGCCAGTGACAACTCTTTCCAGCTTCACTGCTAGCTCACAACTGTTTACCCGTAGGTGATGATGAACCGGCAGGTTGTAAACATTGTGTAGGAATCGAAAGATCACCCAATTGCCTGGCCCCAAACATGAGGAGGGCACCGCCGCGGATAGGTGGGAGCGGATCTCTCGACAATGCTTGCGGGTGGTGGCTCGGTCGGCAAGAAGGGGGACCTGGTGAAGAAGATGACTTCAAACAACGGTGCCGACATCACTTCCCCACCCACAAGCGGACAATGCCACCGGAAAAACCACTCCACCATGGCCCCTGGTCGAAGAATCTCTGGCCTTTAGCGGAGTGGGGTGATTGAGAGGATTTCTGGGGATGGGTGAGGGACTACGGTGTTCTCGTAAAAAACACTTTTGGTGGTGGAATACCGTAGTTCTATGCCCGAAATTTTTGATTTTAGCATTTACATCGGTTTTTATCAGTTTCAGTGGTTCAAGAACTTCTCAAAATCATACTAAAACGTTTACAAAGTAGTAATTCTCCTCTTTTTTTGAGCCCTAAATGTAATTTTCATAATTTATTTGGGCTCATATTAGCGGAAATACGGTATTTTTCTGCTTATCCATACTTTAGAATGTTGTAACGGACCAGAAAAGGCCTACCATTGAGAACTCGGAGCAGCGGTAGCGGCCCCAAGAAATCTAGGCAAGCTTACAGGTATTCTTTAGGAATGATCAAAGCTTAAAGCAAAGGCAACTATTTTTTTGAAAGGGCCTAATTGGCAGGAAAGTACGTTCAATGTTTATACTACGGCACCATTTTCGAATCTTGCGAGGTATTCTCTGACTTTACGACGATTTTTGAACAGCTCGATGATCTAGCGCTCCCATAACCACGATCAAAAATGCCAAAGCCTTCGATCCCTTCGATGCCATCATGTTCATCGAAAAGCATCCGCGTGTATGTTCTGGGGGAACACCCATCCATCCGCTCTTTTTGATGTCGCCCCCCGCTTTGTCATCTGTGGTCGAGTGTTGAGGGTGGGCTCCCAGGCTACGGCAGAGGACTCTTGACAGCAACCACAGGACATCATCACAGCACATCACAGGCGGCTTCTGGACGATGATCGCTGATGGCTGGATGGGATTTATTGTTGGTTCATGACTTTAGAAGCTTTCTGGTCATTGATTTTATCAAATATTCTTTTTTGGGAAATGTTTCACCCGAAATTTCGAGCAAGATGTCAAATTTACCGTTTTGATGAGCTACAGGCTTTAGGTATACATTTTTAAACTTGCATTTATACCGCAAATAGGTTTAGAATTTTCGCGAGGCCAGTTTCCCCCAAGTTTTGGAGGCAAAAACAACATGCCCGGAAGGCAGTAGAACAAAACTACTTTGTGAGTCAAGTGCTCTATTTTTTTCCGGCTTTCTCTCTCCCTCCCCCTCTCTTTATGTCTCTCTCTCGCTCTCTCTCTCTCTCTCCCTGCATTACCCCCTATGCATAAGGCTCCCATTTTCCGCCCCGGGTTTGACCGGAAATAAAGTGCTTATTGTGGTGGCCGAGACCGAGGCTCCGGGCGGCCTTGAATTCTTCGCAGTAATTTGGGATAGTTTGCCTACGAGAATTTGATAGTTATTTTTTAACTAATAAGATAAACTTATGTTTATTTAGATTTTTGGCTAAAAACGCAGCGCGGCTTACGTTTATGTGATTTAAAGGGCTGCCGACGGCATGTGTCGATCCCCCCTCATCAACAAATTGGCAAGTAGCCAACAGGGGAGAGAGCGCGCCCAGGGGAGAGGCGCAGAGACATTTTCTTTCCGGCGCGTAACCGATTGACTATGCCGTCGGGATCCCTTTAATAATATCTTTTCACTAAAAACAGTAAAACTTAATTTTTAATTTAAATTTAATTTAATGTTAGTAAATTTAGGATGTTTAAATTAATGTTAACCTTACAAGGAACAACCCTCCCCCCACTCCCAGCTAGCCAAACAATTTTTTCACGCCATCGAATCCGGGCGGGTAGGGGGCGATCCCGTGGGAAATCCGATATTTTCGGGGGCGCTGTATGGGTCGTGGCGCGCGTGTCGCAATCGGTTTTTTGAGGGCCCTTCTATTCATTCAACAGGCCTGCCAGAATTTTTGGATGAACCTGTAGGATACGGCGGCATCTGTCCACTTGACGGCTTCTTTAAAGGCATGGCTCGTCGGGTTTTGGCATTTTTGAGCTTCCGGGTTTTCGGGCTGGACTCTTCTGGATTACGGTATTTAAGGATTTTGCTATAGGCAAGAAAGCAAGAAAACCTATATTCTCTCTTGTTCTCTCTTGTTACTAGCTATCTCTCGCTCTCTCTCACTCTCGCTCGCTCTCTATCTCTCGCTCACTTTCTCTCACGATGGGATTGATGTTGGTTTGAGAATTAGACTCTCGCTAGCGTAGCATTACAAGTCCGTTTCTTATTCCTCTTTCTCCATCTCTCTCTCTCTGTCTCTCTCTCTCTCTCTCTCGCTTTCTATATCTATCTCTATCGCTCTCTAGACCCCCGTTTTTGAAAGCGTCTCACTTTCGAAAACGGCAACAAAGCCCGGAGGAGTCGGTGGGCCGGAGACGGTTCGACCGGTTTCTCCCCCCCTCAATTGCTTCAAGCCCCCCATTCAGACGGTCGTTTTTCCAGATTAGTAAAGTCACTGTTTGGATTTGGTTCTGAACCGGTATCGTTTTTCCGGGATTTTTGGCCTTTGATGAGTTTGCTCTGCAAAGCCTATTCAGTTAGCTACCGTATTCTGTTGAGTCTAACCAGTCTGGTTTACTGTTCCAATTAACACATACAGACGTACTTGCGTTATAATTCTAAATATGGGTTCCACCGAAAACGATGAGCGAAACGCACATTTTCGGTCTTTTACGGGGTTTACTGTAGTACTGTAAATTCGACAGCGTTCCCGACCCACAGAAAAGTCCCGTCATTCCCTTCAACCGCTCCAATAAATCACCCCGTACCCCCAAATTATGTCAGCCGAATGCCATATATGGTTCATCTCCAAGCGATCGTCTCCAGGACGGCTTTTTGTGGTCGTCCAATCTGGGGTCGGCGTTGAACAATCAGGGATGGGGGACCGGTTTAGCCGGACCGGCAATTTATGGAGGAGCAGGGCAAAACATATCCAACAAAGCAGCAAAAATGAACGATCAAACCCTATTTTTACTGGGGGGTTTAACCGCTTAAGCCATGTAACTGATGGTTAGAAAAGAACCATAGACCCAATATTGGGTAGTAAGATAAAAATGAATTTATCGAGGTATCGAAAGGGGACAAATTTGGAGGCGTGATTTTCCAGCGATTTCCAAAAGAGTGCCCCGGTGTGGCTAGGGATATCGTGTGTTTTCACTTCCTTGATTTTCATCTTACCTTTGCGATTGGAAGTTTTTTTAGCAGCTTCATTTATTGCTCAGAGCTTACTTACCTTAACAAGCTTTTCTAGCCTTAGAAAAAGAAAGAAAATTTATCTTATTTACATGCTTTCGTATATCTCTATTGTATCTATTTGTATCTATTTGTATCTATCTCTATTTACATGCTTTTACATGTTGAAAAGCCGCTTCGCGACTGATCCCGTTTTGGACTGATGAAAGTTTACACTTTGCATAATTCGACCCGCCCAACGCCCAAAAAAGTGAAAAATGCGCTCTCTGCTCCTTTATATAGGCTACCCCCACTTCCGGTGTATGCTAATTGATTGCTAACAAAGTGGGTTTCGGATTTGTCAACAAAAAGTAAAATTTAATGTCGAAAATAGGCGATTTTGATAAATCTCATATGCGTGCAGTCATCCCCCGGTCATTACGCACCTAATGACGTATCATACATACCCCCAAGTCCTTCCCTTCTTGAGATACTGCTGGAACAACCTGACCGAAGTTGCATGCAAAGTGGCACACACACTCCTATTCCCTATTCTCCCCATAACACCTCCAGCACCTTGAAAAACTTCAAGACCTCACTACTTGGGTGAGGAGCACAGCTGGAACGCCTTGGCGATCAAGTCACACCAGGGGGATGGCTCGTTTTAGCTAGCTAGTCCAGCCAGCGAAATCCGTAGATTGCGGTTTGGTGGACTAAGGCTGGGGGGATACAGCGCGATTTATTCCAACTTTTGTAGTTCTCTGGTGAAAGCAACATACCGCTCCTGCTTGTCTGGGGGATAAGAAGTGGTCACGGCGGATATAGGGTGGATCAGGAACTTCACTTGGGTAGTTTCCATTTTTGTATTCTGAACGTCTGTTGATAGATTTTTTTAAATTTAGATTCCTAATCCTAAGCCTAAGCGAAGCCTAAGCTAAGCCAAAGCTAAGCCAAAGCCTAAGCCTCAGCCGATGCCCTAGCTAAGCATGCGTCTAGGTAATGCCGAAGCCTAAGCGAATCCTAAGTGAAGGTTTTAGGTTTTTCCGAAGGCTAAACCTAAGCCTAAGGCCGACCGCGTTTTAACAGCTTTTTTTGCCGATCACCTATTGGTCCTTGATCATTCGCAATGGCGGGGAGCCAAGCCCACTCGAGACATCGGTAGACACGAGTCTCCCAGTTGCTAAATAGAGCAGAACAGAGTAGTAACTGAATGGGGGAAGGGATCTCGTTTACACCTTTCCTATGGAAAGAAATTTACGGGTTGTTCGGAAATTTGGTCTCTCGCTATCTCTGTATGTCG